CTGCGCAGGCTCGTCAGGCAGGCGTACGAGCGCTTGCACACGATGCAGATGTAGTAGACCCTCCCGTCCGCGATCAGCTCGTAGTGGTCGTCGTGCCTCAGCTTCATGCGTTTCCTCTTGGGAGAGTTGCCGCTGGACGTTCTGGGCGTCTCCTCGGCCTTGGCTTCGCTCTCCCCAGCGTCCCCCTTGGCGCCCTCGGCGTCCCCCTTCACAGGGATGACGATGTCGTAGGTGTCCTCGCCGATGTTGGCGTACACCTTGCAGCCCGTGGACAAGCCGCCTATTTCCGCCGCCGTGTCCAGCGTTATGATTTTCTGCCCCTCTGCCACGTGCTGTGATGCTACGCCCGAATTTAACTCCTTGTTGTTTCCAGCAAGGGCATCCGAGATTTTTATTTTATATTCTCCAGGCTTAGAAAACGGCTCTTCAGAAAACTTAAGGACCTGTTTTTTCTGCACGCCTGACCCTTCGGCGGTCGTTGCCTTGGGTACAGAAGGCTGCCGAACCAAAGAGCTACTGCTGACTGAACCAGGGCTAGAGGAGCTAATGATATCCACATCGTCTTCAGCAGCCTCTTCATCATCAACAGCAGCTGTTTCTGCTTCTGCTTTAGACGGCTGCTGGTTCTCCTCCAGTAAGTTAATGGTGGGGGTCACGTGCGCTGGATGCACCGCGCTGGCGTTGAGCGAGGAGTTCAGCAGAGGTTTATTGAGCACAATGATATTAGGAGTCAAATGCTGGGGCGCTGCAGAGACGAGTGTCTCGGCACCTGATGGCGTTTGCTTTGGGCTTAGCTGGCCAGCAGGTGAAGTAAGTTTTTGAGCTGCTGTGATGCTCATCAGATGCATGGGTTTTTGGTCAGAAACTCCAGCCGAACTTGGGCAAGGCTGGCTCTGGGTTGTAGCGTTTGTATCCTTAGTACATTCTTTTGGAGGAACAATCTCAGAGCAGAAAATGACATCGTCATCCTCGTCATCTGAATCGGTCACTGTAATTTTGGTAGTCTCATATTCTATGCCGTGCAAGGAGAACGACTGTGTTATAACGGGCATCCCGTCCGTTACCTCTCCGCTCTCTGGCCTTACTACAGGCACCTGTGTTTCAGCATCCTTTTGACTTGGACTAGAAGTCGAAGTTCCTGAAGCACCACCTTTGACCTCACTTGGCATGGTTTTTCCTTCAGATGGAGATATGGCCAGATCAGCTATGAATTTAACACCCAGCTGTTGCCCTGATTTAATCAGTTCATCAAGTAAATCAGATCGAATGCTGATTATTTTGGAACTATAAATATAGTTAAGAATCTCTGCAAAAATCTCTGCTCTTACAAAACTCAGTTCAACCACTTGTCCAGCCACTGAGAAAAGCTGGTGGAAATAGGTGCTTGAGGCTGAAAGGATGTTCCTGTGGGCTCGAAATTTCCGGTCCTCCACGATGACAGTAACATCACAAAAAAGCCCGTGGCCACGTTGTTCGTTCAGAGACCGAAGGAGCACACTAGAATACTGTGTGTCTGTTGCAGAAATCATTTTTTTCCCCTCCATTCCTTCAAAGAGAAAGTAAAAGGCATCATATTAGTAAAAGCAGAGATTGACAGTTTTAACTGTGTGACAGCATGCCCACATTTACGGTTTATTCCTTCTTCTGAGAAAAGAAATCTGAGATATTTTCATAAGTTTATACACTATAGCACTCTGCAAATTTGTTTCTTCATGTTATTTGTCCTTTCACTGTCCGGGCAAGGCACGTGCAATTCTGAATGTATCCCAGATCCCTACAACACGAAGAACAGAGAACAAACGGTGCGTCTGATTCAGAAGCAAAACATTTAAACATTATCCGAGATTTCTTTTTAACTGCGAAAATATCTGGTAAGTTGTTAGGGTTGGGGGAGCCTGACAACATCCAGGTTGTTTAGGGGCCAGACAACAACATCTGTGCACCCTCGTACATCAGTCAGCTGAGGTGAGTGGAATGCTGCGGACACTTCCCAGTCCCCACCGGCACTTCCCGCTCGATGCCACCCGACCAGACGCAAAAAACCGGCATCAAAATACAGGAGCCGCGAGCTGAAGGCTCCAACTCCTTCGTTTCGCTCCTAAAACTTTATTTCCGCGCCGCTAGAAGGGCAGGACGAGACGCAGAGGC